CCCCAAAACCCCAAAACCCCAAAACCCCAAAACCCCAAAACCCCAAATTTCAGTAGATATTGAAAATGGGATTTAACAGTCAACATTCGAGGGATTAAGAAATTAATTGACTTTTAATGATCTGTAAGAGATAACTTGGATGAAAGATTATTACTCAACAAATTTATAAGTCTTCAGCTGTGAAGAACTCATGCTCAAGAGCCTCTCCAGCTGTGATTCTCTCTTCTGGGTCCCATGCTAGCATTTTCTCAATCAAATCTATAACCATTCTCTTATCCCGCCTCAAATAAGATGTTGGGATTAAGTCATTGAGATCTTTTCTTTCAAAAGTTTCAATTTGATCTAGCAACTTTTGAGTTGTAGGAGGGATATTTGGCGCCATTTGGTTGAACTCTTCCTGACTAGGAGTTCCTAGGATCGCCATCTGCTCCAAAAATTGACTTCCCTCGGTCTTACCCGGGAAAATCGGCTTGAGCATCAAAAGTTCTGCAATAATACATCCAGTGGCCCAGATGTCTATTTTCTCAGTATAATTTGACACTCCGAGGATTAATTCCGGGGCTCTGTAGTATCTACTTACAATGTAAGGGGTATTCTTGCCATTAGGATCGAGTACCTTGGATGACCCGAAGTCACAAATCTTTACTTCATCCTCCTCAGTTACGAGAACATTCTCAGGCTTAAGATCCCGGTGAACAACTTTACGTTCATGCATATGCTTAAGTCCATTAAGAATTTGGAAAGAGTAATGGCGCACTTTATCAATATTGAAGGTATCCTTCTGTGCTTTAGTCTCGGTAATCATGGACTCCAGGTTATCACTACAGAATTCGAAAACAAGGTTCTGGGCTAGTTTATCATCCTCCTCATTTTTAGTATAAAAAATGTCAAGAACTTGAATACAGTTTGGACATCCTTTCAGGATCTCAAGAATCTCATATTCTCTGCTGACATAGTCTCCCGCTTTAGTGGTTCTCTTGAGGGCTACTTTCTGGCCTCTGTTCTTATCAATAGCTTCAAACACATATCCAAAGGAGCCTGAGCCGAGAAGGCCACAAATCTCGAGGTCTGGCACGGTATAACTGGACATTTTCTTATCAAATTATTTTAAAAACTCAATTGAGTTTCTTTATATAGGGGTTTTGGGGTTTTGGGGTTTTGGGGTTTTGGGG